TCCGGGTCTTCCCTCCATTGAGGAACCAGACAGTCCGGACATCCCTCTTCGAGAAATCACCCAAAGCCATCGTCGGTCAACTCCGGATTCCGGAGCTCCCATAGTTCGACGTCCATCTAATCCATTACCAAACCAACTCGCGTCCGGCAGTTCCACCGCATCCAGTTTCCTAGAAATCCCTCCTAGCATTCTCAGTACTCCGGAAATAATTCATTCGGAACCCGCAATCTCTACCACTATGTCAGACACCCTCCCGTCCCGTTACGACAAGCATGCACCGCGTTTCGATCCGGAACAGCCGCGGACTTTACTCCGCTATTTCGAGGACATCACAGACCTCTTTGCGGCCCATCCGAACGCGGTGGCTAGCGAGGCAGCAAAAAAGGCAGTGGTGGTAAAATACGTCCCCATGTACGAGGAGGAGCTCTGGAAAGGCGTCCCCGAATTTGCAGACGACTCCAAGAGCTTCGAGGAATTTAAGGCGGCGATTTTGGCACTATACCCAGCCGTCAAAGAGGACCAACGGTACAGCGTTGGAGATATGGACCGGATAGTAGGCGAAAGGCAAAGAGTGGGGATTCATAATTTGGCGGACCTGGCAGCATTTTATCGCGACTTTTTGCTCGTCACTCGGTACCTTCGGAAGAACGACATTATCTCGGTTCGCGAGCAGGGAAGAGCGTTCCAGCGGGGATTCCAACCGGACCTATGGGCAAAAATATTCGGGCGTCTTCAGATCAAGGACGTAGACCACCAGCCAGATACTCCGTACAGCGTGGATGAAGTCTACAAGGCGGCGGAGTTTATTCTCCATGGCACGTCGGCAATCGGGACTTCAGAGAGGCGTCCGGAGTCATCCAGCAGCACTCTCAGTGCACCGGCCGTAAAGACCGAGGACCTAGCTTCACTGGTGGAGGTCATTACAAAGTCCATCAGCCAGGCTCTGGTTGCTGCGGTTCAGCAGAACGCTGGTTTGGCTCCAGCAACGTCTACTCGACCTGCCGCAACCAATTATAATTGTCTTTATTGCGGAGAAGGAGACCATTCGATCCGAAGGTGTCCCAAGGTTGAGGAGGACATTAGAGCCGGTCGGTGTAAACGAAATGCCGAAGGACAAGTCGTCCTACCTAGCGGGGCGATGGTCTCGAGAGCGCTACCAGGAGCAACGATGAGGGACCGAATTTTAGAATGGCATCGTCAAAATCCAGGGCAAACCAGCGTACACCTGTTGGACACGATGCTATGGGAAGAGGTCCGAGCTCCGGTAGCTTCACACACCACAGATATGTTTCATCTAGACCAGCAGGAGCGTATTGATGCTTTAGAGCGGGAGCTATTCGCGTTACGCGGAAAGGGGAAGCAAGTTTTTGACGGAGTCTACATTCCTCCAGCAAATAGGCCTACCAACCCGTCCAAAGAATCTAGCGCTGGTCCGCCCGGTTCTACCCACTCCAAGGCTAAGAGTCAGTCGGTCCGTGAGCAGCCAGTGACCGAGGCAGCGCGGCCATCAGTCAATCGCGAGACTCCACCACATCTGCCGGAAGGACCAATCCATCCATTCGCTGGTGCAAGAGACGTCAACCGGCGTAGGCAGGCAGTCCAGCGGAACGCTGAACAGGATCCAGCACAGGCGGCCGAAGCGTCCAAAGCCAAGGAGCCAGCGTACCGTACTCAGGCCCCCGTCTACAATCCCCGTATCTCTGACCTGGTTTTCGAACGCGCTCTGAAGACTCCGAACATCTCGTTGACGTCGGAAGAATTGTTATCCATAGCTCCGGAGGTCCGGGCCAAATATAGGGACATTGTAACACCCAAGAAGGTACCGGCCCCACCAGCGGTACGCCTGCAAGCCACGATTCAGGAGGTGGAGGACGAGCAAGATGGCCCTGAACTACCAAATGTCGAGCAGTTGATTCATAATGGACGTTCGATCCGTCCGGGAGTACTTGTGCTACCCGATCCATACGAGGTTTATCTCCGGAGTTTAGGTCCGGGGGAGACACCGAAGCAATTAATCGTGGCCAAGGAGTCGCATGCGCTTCGGTCCATTATGGGACTTATTGACAACCAGGAGAAGGTCGAAGCGATTTTAGATCCAGGTTCTCAGATCGTGGCAATGTCAGAAGCGGTTTGCCACACTTTAGGCCTCCAGTACGACCCCACCATACAACTCCAGATGCAATCGGCAAACAAGACAATCGACATGTCTCTGGGATTGGCACACAACATTCCTTTCCAAGTCGGAGATATTACCGTTTACCTCCAGATTCATGTCATCAGGGATCCGGCCTATGATATACTACTCGGACGACCCTTTGATGTTTTGACGGAGAGTTGCATCAAGAATTTCAAAAATGAGGACCAAACGATCACGATCAACGACCCCATCTCCGGGATTGTTTCCACCATCCCGACATTTCCAAGAGGTCGTCCTCAATTTCGAGGCCCCGCCTCTCGAGCGGGATGAATTATTTTAGGTGTATCGGACAGGGAACAGTGGGCGGCCCTTGTCATCGAAGAGACGGATACCCCCGCCCAGTTTCATATTTCTGCGTACAATATTCTAGGTGATCAAGAAAATAGCAAAACCTCAAAACAAGATTTTATTCCCTTCCTTTATCTCTCCGCTTGCGAGTCTCCCGAAGTCCGGTCTTATTTTTCATCAGTTAATTTATTCGGCGATGTGTCACGTCCGCTAGCCGGTGACCCCCATGTCAGCGATTCTCAAACACGGGATCCAGTGGTCTCTACGTTTGCGGCCACTAAGAAAAAGTACAAGCCCGTCGCCAAGAAGGTCCGCGCAGTACCGGCCACATTACCAAAAGAATTCCGGATTCAGCGTAATATCAAAGGGGACCCGTTGGCCGATATGCCAACTTTATCTCCGAATCCCCCTCCATTCCAGCCAAGCGGACGATATTCACTAGAGCGTAGAAATGCGTTACACAAGGCCCATCCTAGTGGATTCCTGACGGACTCGGAGCTAAATCTGATGGACGAATTCATGAGCAAGCACGACCAGGCATTTGCTTGGAATGATTCGGAACGCGGTCGTTTCCGGAAGGATTTCTTCCCCCCCATTGAATTTCCAGTACTACCTCATATGCCGTGGATACAGAAGAATATTCCCATTCCGCCAGGAATCTACAACGAAGTCTGTGCGGTAATTAAGAAGAAGATCGCTGCAGGGGTATATGAGCCGTCCAATGCTTCGTACCGCTCCAGGTGGTTTTGCGTACTCAAGAAGGATGGGAAGTCACTCCGATTGGTCCACAGTTTGGAACCCCTCAATGCCGTCACGATTCAGCACTCCGGAGTCCCTCCGATCCCCGAGCACATGGCGGAGCAATTTGCTGGATGCGCCTGCGGAGCCATGTTGGACTTATACGTAGGGTATGACGAACGGGAGATTGCGGAGTCCTCAAGAGATCTCACAACATTCCAGACGCCATTCAGAGCAATGCGACTTGTTACCCTACCTATGGGATGGAGTAATTCAGTACCTATCTTCCATGACGACGTAACCGCTATTCTCCAGCCTGAAATCCCCGATGTCACCATCCCTTACATTGACGACGTCCCGGTAAAGGGGCCCCCTAGCCGCTACATACTTACGGACGGGACCTACGAGACAATTCCAGAAAATCCGGGGATTCGTCGTTTTGTATGGGAGCACTTCCAGAATCTCAACCGAGTCGTCCAGCGAATGAAATACTGTGGAGGGACGTTTTCGGGATTAAAGCTCACCCTCTGCGGTCCGGAGATTGTGGTTATCGGACACCGCTGTACCTATGAAGGCCGGATCCCTGATGAGTCGCGCGTGGAGGTCATCCGTAATTGGGGACCCTGTAAGTCGCTTTCTGAGGTTCGCACTTTTCTAGGGACAGTCGGAGTCCTCCGTATTTTCATCCGGAACTTTGCGCATCGAGCGAACGCTTTGGTGCAGTTGACTCGCAAAGGGGTACCATTCGAATGGGGACCGGAGCAGACGCTAGCGCAGGAGGACCTCAAGCAGGCCGTTCTGGAATCGCCGGCTTTAAGACCCATTGATTATACATCGAACGCTCCAGTCATTCTCGCCGTCGATACCTCTTACATTGCCGTTGGATACTATCTTTGCCAACAGGATATCGAGAATCCTAAACGTCGATTCTACAGTCGCTTTGGCTCCATTACCCTCAATGACAGAGAACGACGCTTCTCCCAGCCCAAGCTCGAGATTTACGGTCTGTTCCGGAGTCTTAGAGCTCTCCGCCTTTATCTCCTAGGCGTTCGGAATTTAGTTATTGAGGTGGATGCACGGTACATCAAAGGAATGCTGCAGAACCCAGATATAGCCCCATCTGCGAGTATCAACCGGTGGATCGTATCAATTTTAACTTTCCATTTCACGCTGGTACATGTCCCAGGGAGAACGCATGGTCCGGACGGACTTAGTCGGCGACCGCCACAGCCGGGGGATAGACCTGTCGACCCCGACGATGAGTTTGACAACTGGATAGATCGACTTCACGGATTCCTGCACTTCATTAATCCGGTCCCATATCTGAGAGCGCCAGGGAACCTCACAATACTGGCGAACACGGTGGCAAGCGACCCGGAGAGGCCGGAGGAAATTCTAGACTATGCGGACTTCCCTCGGAGCGACAAGGAGTTCAGGATCGACAGCAGGCTTTGTTAGCAGCAGGCAGAACAGGGAATGGAACAGGGAAGCATAAGATGGGTGGCCATAAGCACACCAGACCCAGACACATACACAAACCGAAGGCAAGGTCAATTGCACGGACTAAGGAACAAAGGAAATACAGTGGCTCAGTACATAGTCAAGCTGTTTGTACCTATTTGTCCCAGTGGCTCTGCATCCAATACAACCAAAACCTAACAGGCTTTCTCTCCTTCCTGAGTGGTTCCAAACTTTACAGCGCCCAGGACACGTGCCCCCGGAAGAGTACGCGGGCTTTGTGAAGTACGCAACACAGTTCTTTTACTCCAGCGGCAAATTGTGGCGAAAGCACCTACAGGGCACCCACCAGCTAGTACTCTTCGCGAAGGACCGAGTTGGAGCGCTCCGTGCTTGCCATGATAATGTAGGCCACAGGGGAATTTATGCGACAAAGGCTCTTCTCTTGGAGCGTTTCTGGTGGCCCTCGGTCGTGCGCGATGTTTCGTGGTATGTCAGAACCTGTCATATCTGCCAGACGCGTCAAACCCGTCAAATCCTCATTCCACCGGTGGTCGCCGTTCCGGCTCCCCTCTTCGCCAAGGTTCATATCGACACTATGCATTTACCCAAGTCCGGAGGCTTCGGTTATGTCGTTCAGGCCCGGTGTGTCTTAACCTTCTATCCCGAGGCAAAGAAACTACGCGCGGAGAATAGCCAGTCGATTGGCGACTGGATTTACGAGGATGTAGAATCTCCGTAGTCAGTACAGTTAGCTTGTATCACACACACACCAATAAACGGAACCTCGTCTTATTGCGAGAGATACAAGATAGGTAATTGAGCTAAGCAGATTCAGAGGTAGTTGTTGTCTAACGATCCGCCTGCCCAATCCGTCCATCTATCACTCAGTAACCAAACACGTCCAAACTCGGTGCCACTCGGTGGCGCCCACCTTACACCCTCCCCACTTAGAGCGAGACATTGTCTCTGATGACAATGGGGAGCGATATAATGGTATTATTGTTGTATGGAAATATATTATAATAGGGTCCGAGACTCAATGGTCATCTACATCGCGATTCGGGGTAGTGTCCATGACGAGGATCATCATACAATGCAATTTCGGTATGCGGCGGGAGGAGTGGTCATATTACATAGTGATGCCGCAGGGTATTAATGATTCGATAATGCGATATAAGATTGTTATAGTCCAAATAATAGCACAGACGCGAGACGGCGGCAACGACAGCGACGGCGACGAGAGAGGGGGGGGGCATGCAGCGTCCGTACTCCCCACTTAGTCGGCGAAAGGGTCCGGTGTCGGTGCACCCTTGACTCCACGCAACTCCGCGAGCTCAATGGCAGCCTCGTAGTGTCTCCCTTGGGTCCATATGCCACAGCCAGCGAGG